CTAGGCCAGCAGGCCATTTGGTCCCTTAGCTAGGTTGTTTGGTCTGCTGCTCCAGAAGTAGTTCGTTCATGAATCCACAAATGAGGCTCTATTAGCTCCACTTTACAGATGAAGAAATAATCCACAGAGCTGCCGCCGCCCAACCTCCAGGGCCCAGGCTGGGGCCCCTAACTCCAGAGTGTGGGTGCTCCCTGGGCCATGCTGCCCTTTCTGGGAGGAAGCTGGGCGGGCTGCCTGGAGAGAGCCCGGGGAATCTGGCTGTGGGTTGGATCTGCGCCCTGAGGGTCAGCCGTCCTTACCTGGGGCCTGATTTTCTCTCGTCCACGGGTGGGTGCTCCTGCCACCCGTCTCTGTGCCCCTCGGGTGTAGCAGGAGCTGGTGGCTGCTGGCCCGGGATGGGGCAGCCGGTGCTGGCCCCCCTGCAGTTGCAGGGGTTCTCAACCTTGCCTAACACGTGAGTGGACCGGGGCACTTAAAATACTCCTGTCCGCACCCCCCATCAGAGAGTCTGATCTGATTGGCCTGGAGTGGAGCCCGGGTAGGTCGGCTTGTGTGTTTTAAGGGTCCTGGGTGGTTCCAGGGCAGGGCTGGGCAAGAAGAATGCTGGAGTCGGGACACCTGGGTGTGAATCTTGTCCCGTTGCCCTGGTCCTACGTTACTCGCCTTATCCGAGACTCCGTTTTCCTCATCTGTCTAATGGGCATGATCTCAGCCTCGCGTAACAGGATGATGCTCCATGCGAGACCATGGAGGTGAATGTGCTTGAAAACTAGAGGGCCGGGTGAAATGGGAGGGATCGTCATGGGGCCGCTGCGGGCGGAAGCGCCCAGTGCCAGGCCCCAGGCCCCCCAGCCTGGCCGACTCAGCTCTGCGGTATTTTGGCAGGGTGCTTCCGAGGCGGTCACAGTCGCCCTATCCATTTCCATGTCGCTTGCCCACAGCCTCCCTGTCCTCTAAACCCTCTGGAGAGGAGGGTTTTATGGGTTCTGAGCTCAGCACCCCCGCTGTGTCTCTAGCTACAGGAGCCCCCCTGACGGATGGCCAGATGCCCTAGAAACCTTGGCCGAGAGAAAACATAATTGCATCCAAGTGGGAAGGTGGTTGGCTGGGCAGGGATCTCCGGGATGTCAAGCCCACTGCTGCTCGCCTTCTGGAAGCGGCCCGCTGTTGGCACACGCCGGGGCTACGCTGCCCCCGTGAGGCGGCCCCGGGAGCCGCAGCTGGCCCTACGCGGGACCTCGAGCGTCCTTTGGCTTCAGCGGGGGTCCCAGGGGTCCGTCAGGGGAGCTTGTTAAACTTGCCCAAGCAGGGCACCTGTCGTCGTCGTCGTCGTCATTGCAGACTGCCCGGCTAGAAGCTGGGAGGGTGTCTGGGAATCTGCACTGGAACATTCCAGCCCCCCTGCCCCCCGGGGCAATTCTGATTCATACAATCCCCCAATTTCTCTGTGACCTAATTTGTAAAATCCAGGGCACCTGCAGAGCCCCTTGTTCAGAAATTATTAAGAATTTCAAGAGCACGACAGCAAAGCGTGAAGCTGAGCACAGGCCCCGGGTGGGCGCGCAGGCAGCCGGCCCAGCTCTCTGGCCCTCTGAGTTTGGAGGGTCCCCGTGTGCAGCGACCCCGTGGGTTAGATGTGTCCGGAGTGCTGGCTGCGTAGGGATGAGCTAGGTGAGAGAGCATCGCCTGGAGGTGGGGCGGTCTCCGAACAGAATTTGGACGCTACCACTTACGACTTAGGCGACTTCGGACACATTCCTAACCTCTGAGTCTCACTTCATCTTTAAATATTAGGATAGTTTCTATTTCAAAGAATTGCTCTGAGAATGTAAACTCATTCCCGTGATACAGCAAGTGCTGCCTAAATGGAGTTACTACTGCCTCCTGGGCTCTGCGTTCGGGTTTTAGGATGTAGGAGTAGATGAGGATGAGGTACATTGTGGTCCCCATCCTAAATGGACAGAGTTAGCCACAGAACTCCTCCCCGACCGCGGGGGGGGGGGGGATGGAGGTGTGCCCAGGTGCAGGTAGGAGAATATCCGTGTCCCACAGGGGGTGCAAAGACAGGTGTAGGGAGGAAGCAGGAATATGAGGGACGATGTGGTGTGTGTGTGTGGGGGAGATGGGGTTCAGGCAGATGGGGCATGAGCTACACACGAGCTTGGGGCTCCCCGTGGTAGAGGAAGGGTGTAGGTAGAGGAGAAGTTGGAGAGGAAGCCAGAGGAGAGCTCATCGGGAAAGCCTCTGGGGGTCTTGCTGTGGGATTTCAGCTTTGGGCTGAAAGGAAAGTATTTAAGCAGAGGATTTGTGCTTTAGAACAGGAACCCCCTCCTGTGATACTTAGCAGGGAGGACACGGGACTGGGCTGGTCCTGGCAGGAACAAGTGGCCGTGATCCAGGTGAGAAGCAGGTGTCCTCTGGACTCGGCAGCGGAAGTGGGGAGTGAGGTCAGATTAGAAAGTTTTCCACGAGGGAGCTGATTCCTGGGGCCTGGGGACCTGCGGGACCTGGGAGGGGGTGAGGAATCAGCAGTGACTCTGGAGGTCAGGCTACGAAGCTGGGTGGATGCTGGTCCCTTCGTCTGGGATGAGGAGCAGAAGGGGAGGAGGGAAACAGGGCAGGGGGTGGTGGTAGGGAGAGTTTAGGAGGGAAGGTGACGAGTTCAGATTTTGTTGGTGCTTTTGAATTTGTACTTCGTAAGGGGTAAGATACCTGAGCGTCCAGGACAAGTTCAATTTGGGGGCACATGGAATTGGAGTTGCCTGGGGGACACATTGAGTCTCCCATCACCCTCATCCTGACATCCCGTTCACGAACAAGACCCACTGGTTCTGTCCCCAAGATGCTGTTCGTACGTGTCCCCTTCTCTCCCCCTCCTGCGTCACCTGCACAGAGGAGAGGAGCGGCAGGCCGTGAGGGCACAGGACGGGGCCTGTCCTTTGCAAACAGGAGGGTGGGTTTGGAGAGGTTTTCTGGCTGACTCCAGGGGTTTGGATGGGCAGGGAGGACATTCTCACAGTCAGGTCTTGGTTTTCTCGGATGGGGAGAAGGCAGTGTGGGGAGAAGCATGAAAGGGTGTTGTAGACACGGGGGAATGTGGGAGCGAGACAGCTCGAGCAGGTTTCCCCAGGCAGGATTTGGAGCTGGGGGGTTCTGTGGTGATGTCAGCCCGCACTGTGGGGGGACTGTCTCCATCAGGGCTCTGCAGGGTTGTGCGGGGGCCCCAATGTTGGCCAATGGGGCTCCTCGGGGCTGAGATGCTGCAGGGCAGGCGAGCTGCAGACGAGCAGAGGTGAGGTTGGAGCCTGGATCTAGTCTCCTTAGGGACGGAGGCAAGGCCGGAGAGGCTTGATGGGTTGGGGAATAGAATGGGGAGAGCAGAGACTCCTTCCATCGGCACGACGTTGACATTGAGGCCTCCACCTGGCCTCTCACTGCGATGTAGACCATGGGCCGAGCGGGCAAGTGGGGTGTTCAGACTCTCCACGTGGAGCACTGAAGCTCAGAGAGTGGCTTCCAAGCGCTGAGTGGATGGATGCAAGACTGGTGAAGTCAAGAGCGGTGGCCTTGGACCAGCTTGGCCCGCCGGGGGTGAGGGTGGCATCCAAGCAGGCTCCAGCTGCCAGCCCAGTCCCTGCTGGGTCACAAAGGCCCCGTGAGTGTGTGATCCCAGGGGTGCTGTGTGGGTTGCTCCGATGACCCCTGAACTGTGCGGGGCAGGGCGGAGCAAGGGGTGGAGCAGCTGGGAGCTGGAATCCCAGATGACCTTGTAGGTGAGCTGGGGGTTCGCAGATGAGGGTTGTCAGGCCCAAGAGGAGGCCCAAGGGCAGCAGAGGAGCGTGGTAGAGAGGGCCCGGCTGCGGCAGGCCCTAAGGGAGAAGCCGCGGGGAGAAGATGCCTGGGTCACCCCCACCTCCCCCAAAGCTCCCCTGCAGCATGTGGGTGACAGGAGGGTGAGCAGCTGCCGATGGAGAGGCCGGGAGACGGTCCCCGGGGCAGGTGGTGCCATGTGGCTGGACCAGCACGGCCTTCCTGAATGCTACTCTTCCTGAGGCCCCTCCTCAACCCCCCTGCAAAGGGAGGTGGGGAGACTCTGGATCCTTCTCTGTGCCTCCTAGAGCAGCCAGGCAGAGGCAAGGCCAAGGGACCTGCTGCATCGTTGCCTTTGCTGCTGGGCGCTGGCTGAATGACGGCACGGCTCAAGGGCCTCGGGGAAGCAAGCTGCAGTGCCCTCGCAGAAGGAAGGGTGCCTGCCCGATGACAGGCCAAGCCCTTGCCAGGCTGGGATGCTCCCAAGTACTCCACTGGCCACATGCCATGGAGCGGCGGGGGGTACAGGGGTCTGGGCTGGGCAGGGTGGGGAGGCCACCAACTCTGAGTACATGCTGTGCACGAGGCCCGGGAGGCCTCACAGGGTGCCGTCAGAGGACGCGTAAAGGGCGGTGTGCTGCTGTCACTCCCACACAGGATGGGGGCACGTGGGGATGGAGGGGCCCAGGTGGAAGGAAAGACATGTGAAAGAATGTGGGGCAACGGCTGGAAGGTGGGACTCAGGTCACTAGCCATTCTGTAGCTTTCTTCTTCACGGAGAAGAGACAGCTGGGGGCTGGGTAGGAGCGAGAGGTAGGATTCACCTTGGCCGGAGGCCCCTGGTGGTTAAGAGCTTATAGGCCTTGGAATGAGCAACTGAGGAACAGTCTAGAAATGCCTTCCTGAAAATCCTCTCCAAGAAAGAGACCAGGCATGTGCCGAAGGGTAGGTTAGGGCCCTTTGACTTAATTGCAAGAGGCCTGCGATTGCCCACTTGCTGCTCTAAGCACCCTGTGGACACCCTGGACTCTTTTGAACGGTAGAGAAGGGGGCACCCAAGTCTGGATGGGAGGCCGGGTCTGGGGGCTCCCCTCTGGAGGGACAGGCCCCTTGTGCTCTGGAGGGTGGCCCGTGGGCCTCTCGCCCTCCACCTGCCTTCCCTGGGCCCTTGGAGGACGCTGACGCAGGGCTAACTGAATGCATAACTTTATTAAATAAATGCTTTGTCATGACAAAAGACAAAGATCAAGGAGTAACATAAATTATAAGTTGAATAAATAGTATACAGCAATCTTCACTTTTTTAATAAAACGTGAGATCCTCTGGCTTTTTTTTTCTTTTTTTTTATTTCCTCAGGTACAAAATGCTAAACAGGAGGCGAGCCCCTCTGCATTCAGGTGATTTTTTTTTTCCCGCTTTTTTTAAAATTCTTTTCCCCACAAACTGGTTTTATTTGTCAATTTATTTTTTTTTCATCCTCTTCACCAGTAAAGATTATGAGCGTTTATTAAAAAAAAAAAAGTCGAAAACAAAACAAAGGGAGAGAATAGAGCTATGATATGTATGTACGTAACACTACAAAGAGCTACAGTAATATGTGCTGTGGTTATTGCTGTCTTCAAAAAAGAAAAAAAAACCGGTAGGCAACTCGGAATCTGAAGGAATCTTGTCTGACAACTGTCTATCCGTGTGGGCTACTGTGTGGTGGTGGTGGTGGTGGTGGTGGTGGCGGTGGCGGTTGTGGTGGCAGCGGTGGTGGCGGCGACGGTGGCGGGAGATTCAGGACTCAGGCTGGTGGCCGGGGACCTGAGAAGGTGGCTGACGCTCCCCACCTTCCCTTTCCCCACCCAGAGGAGTTTGAGAGGGGGGCCAGGGTCTGTGAGGATGGCTAGACCATATAACTCCATTAGAAAACCCAGAAAGTATGTTTATAAAAAGAAACAAAAACCCAGGAGGAGAAAAAAAAAAAAAAGTGGAGAAAAGTGCAAAAGGAAGTCTTGCACTTTAGTGGTTTTAAAAATAAAGACAGTACAACGCCCAGGTGGCTGGCTTGGCAAGTCCCCATCCCCTTGTGCCACCACTTCTTAAAATTTAGCCTCCTTTCTCCTGCAAACCACAAATGTCCTCTTTGAGACTCAGGGTTGCTTCTCGTGGGCTCACTTCCCTCTAAGGCCCCCGTGCACCGAGGCCCTCCCTGGTGCCAACAAGCCAGGTGTCGGGAGAGCGGTGGCCGGGCCCACCTGCCCGGGGGAGGCTGACCCTGCAGGATTCCCGGGGAGACCACTGAGATGGCGATGGGCAAATGAGCGAGGAGACAGGAGGTAGACCGCACGGGGCCGCCTGGGCCTCCCGTCCTCCCCTGTGGGGGTTGAATGTCTCCAGGCCTGTCTGTGTAGGCCTGGCTGTCTGAGAAATGTTCGAGCGTCACCTGTCCCAGATGCCCTGTTTGCCCAGGTGGGTAGGGAAGCTCTGGGGGAAGGAGGACGGGTCCTGGCGAGGCCTCCATCCGCGACCCGGTGGCAGTGGCAATGACAGGTAGTCGTCTCCCTGCCAGAGCGAGGCACAGGTCAGAGGGGATGGGAAGAGGCCTACTGTTGGGTGGGTGGGTGGGGGGTGACATTTAGTCTTGAGGCCACAGAGAACTACAGAGCCTGAGGCCTCGAGGTGAAGCAACAGTAGCCTTCAGGCAGCCTGGAGTCAAGGAGATCCCGGGTCAGGATCCCCACTGGCGGCGCTGCCCACCAGCCTTCCCTCCCGCCCTCCTGGCCCAGGGACGCTCCATCTCCATCCTCCTCCTCGACTCCCTCCCCAGGCCAGGCCGCCCCCTTGGGAGGCTAGTCTCATCCGTTATGCAGGTCCTGCGTCCTCTAGGGAGTGGCCAGCTGACCGGAGTCACCCCTGCAAGCACTGGGCTCACAGGCTTGGGTGAGTCGCAAGAGCTCCGGAAACCCGAAGACTGCTGGGATTCAAGCGGGCCCTACTCCCCCACCTCACGGCCGGCGGCAGGCGCCCCTTCAGAGTTCGGGACGCAGCAGGGGGAAAGGAGAGAGCCTCTCTCAGGAACCAGGTCCAGGTCTTGGGAGGGGTGTGCGGTGGGGGGTATGCAATTCCTGGCTCAGTCTTTTCTTAGGGGGAATGGCACCCCAGTATCCACTTGGCAGATCCCAGTTAGACGGCTGCTCAAGATGCGCAGAAAGGATGGGCAAACGGTAGAGTGAAGCGGGAAAGGTTTACAATACTGGCCTCAGACACGGAAATGTGAGTCGGGGGTTTGGGGAGAGAGTTGTGCAGAGAGATGGGGCGCACTGACGCGGCAGGTCGACTCAGTCCTCTCGGCCGCCATCCCCATCGGGCCCTTTGTCCTGTGGCAATCGACCGTCTCTCTTGTCCCAGCCAACTGTCCTGTGTGTGTGGGGGTGGTTAGGGAGGCAGGAATCCCCCCCCTGTACCCCAGCCCCAAGTCCCGTAGCTGCAAGTCTCCCACCAGCTGAAATCTGCTTCTCCGCTGGAGAAGTTGGGCGCTGGAGTGGTCCCCACGGCATCACGCCATCAGGGAAGAGTGGAGAGAGCTGTGTCCACAGCGAGGAGGGGGCCCCTTCGCCGGTGTCCCAGCCCCCTCTCCCGGCAGGCTGGCTCCGGCCTCCGAGGACAGCCCCACGGGCACCGGTTTGTTGAGGACGTCAGCGGGAACGGGAGTTTCCCTGGTTCCGAACCTGGCTCCTGAGGACAACACCCTGCAGCATCCGCTTGTCCTGGGCCCTTGTCCCGTCCTCCGCCCCAGGGAGAGACCCTGCGCTGGCCGGAGGCGTTGAAGGGCTTGCAACAGTCTGCCACCTGTCCCTCACTGCAGAGCGGAGGTGGCCACCCGCGTGCACGGTCTTGTCCCTCCGAAGGCACGGCCGGTCTGTGCCGATCCCTGCTCCTGCCCAGTGGCAGGTGTTAGAGCCCACCTAACGGTGCCCACCGTCCCTGGTGCCCAGGCCTGGAGCAAGCTCATTTCTCTCTGAGGAACTGCGCCCCCATTCTCTTCTTGCTGTCCTCTCGAGTCCCAAAGGCCTAGAGGATGGGGAGCCAGGCAATCGCGCTGGGCTTCGTCCCCCTTCCTGTTGCTTTGCTCCAGAGCTAGAAGGAGGCAGTCCCCGCTGGCCCTCCAGCTGGTACCCCCCTCCTGCTCCCCTTTTACCGGCTCCCCTGCATTCACCCCAGCTCACGTCCCTCCCGCTCACGTCCCTCTCTCATTTCAGGCTCTCTCCTGCTCGACCAGCGCGGAGGCCCAGCAAGGCCCTCAAAATGTCAAAATGCAGGCTCGGCCCGGACGGGAGAAAAAGGCCGGGCAGGACCAGTGGGTCACACTTGTCCCCGTTGTGCTCGTTTGGTGCAGGGTCCAGAGGCGGTGACTCCCGGAGGGTCTCAGGGCTAACAACGCCAGAGGTGCGGAGGGTGCGGGGGGGGGGCGTGGGGGGCGTGCCGCGGAGAGCCCCCGTCTACCTGGCTGGGTACCTGTGGGCACACCTGCCCACACCTGCACGCGGGAAGCCGGGAAAGAGTCTAACACCGTGGCCCACCGAGGGTTTGCATCTGCCGCTCATGGGAGGCTGGCAAAATTGCAGTTATGGGTTGTGTCAGAAGAATATGGGTTTTCTCGGTTTTCCCAGAATGAGGAAGCTCCTCAGTGCACCCAGAGGAACTGCTTTGAAAAGTTAATGCAAACCTTCGAAGGAAAGGAAGGAAGAAAGCAAAATAGAAAGAACGTAGACGTATATGCCTTATACATGACTACATGGAGCCTCGTAGAGAAGTATGGACGAGGCCGCGTTGATGTCAGCCTATCCTCCCCCAGAGGGGCCGTGCTCGGAGCGGAGGGAGCGCCGCGGGGGGCTCAAACCACCCGTGTCAGCATGATCTAGTCCCCCTGGGAGAGCAAGTCTCTCGGCTCCGGGGTGTGTCCTGCTTTCTAAAAGTCTGCACGGGGCCTGAAGTACGCACACCTACTTACTCTTGGTATTTCTGCGTAGGAAAACCAATCTATCTAACAGCACTCGGCTATGCTGTTGCTTTGTTTGGAGAGGAATGGAATGCATTTTAGTTTTCAGAAGTTTTGGGGAAGGAGAACCCTCTGCTGGGGGGAGAGGGGAGGAGGAGCGGGTTCAAGCCATGCAGGTTGCTGGCTGGTGGTGGAGATAGGTCAGGAGAGGTGCTGACCCCTCCGGTCTTTTCCCTTCTCCCCCCGTGACCAATCCAGACGGGAAAACCCCCAAGGGTGCCATCGGATGCCACACCTTGGGCCATACCTTCCGGTGCCCAAACGTCTCCCAACTCAGGCCAGGGCTGGACACGACGACGGGCCGGTCCAGCCATGGTCCCGGTGATCTTTCCCTTCCTGCCCACGTTCTTCTTTCCTTCTTCTTCGAAACGACACTCTGGTGTCTCCTTCTCTCCTCTACACGTGCACTTTCTTCCCTTCTCTCTCCTCTCTCATGTCCTCCTCTCTTCCCCTCCCTGTCCCTTCAACTTGCCTCAAAAAGAAAACCATTTTCAAGATTTTTCAAGGGGCGTGTGTGTGTGGGGGTCTCCTTAGCTGTCTGCATCTCTGCTGTTGCCGGTTTGAAAGTTGAGACCTTGCTAGCGATTCCGAGGTCCTCAGTTTCCTCAAATAGATAGATATATGATTTTTTTTTCCCTTAAATGAGATGAAATGAGTGGCGTCCTGGGGTGGAGGGAGGTGCTGGCTGGAGTCAGGGCTGGGGGTGGGATGGGGCGAGGGGAGGACGGGGAGGGGACGCATCACTCAACGTTGCTGCTGTCGAAGGTGTGGCACTGAAAGTCCCCGTCGACATACTCCATGCCTGGCAGCTTCATCCCATACTTGTCCACACACCAGCAGATGCCACGTTTGCGGCCACGGGAAGGCTTGCACTGGGGGAGGGGGGAAGGGAGAGGGACAGGAGGTGAGGGTGGCTGTCCCCCCCCAGAGGCTCTGCTCCTTGTCTTCCCCACCCTAAGACAGACTGTGACCCCAAAACCATCGGGGTTCTGCTGTGCCCCCTGCACGGGGGTGGCCCTAGGGAAAATGCTCATGTAGACAGCCTGCCCTCCACTAGCTCTCACAACCTCTCTTTCACGTCACCCGTTCAGGGCCCTCCAGCTTGATAGTCTCCACATGGCTACGTGATCTGCTGAGGATGGGGTGACAGCGATGCTGTGGCTGCATCATCTGTAAGGCTTTATCGGGTACCGGACGCTACTTAACACTTCCCACGGAGAAGGTCCTGTTCTAAGCGCCTTTACAAAGATGAATCCCTAATCCCTCATCACTGCGTAAGGATAACAGGTACGGTGGTCGTTTTGCATCAGAGTCTGGGGACAGAGACTTTAAATAAGGAGATAAGGAGGGCACAGCTCCTAAGTGGGAGAGCCAAGAATTGACTCAAGGCTGTCTGGCTCTTGACCCTCAACTTAGACGAGGGACACCCTTAGGGAGCATCAGGGTCACCTGAGAGGAAACTTGTTAGGAATGAGAAATTCTCAGGGTCCACCCCCAAAACCCCGGGGTGGGGCTCCACAATGGGTGTTTTAACAAGCCCTCCAGGTAGTTCTGACGCCCCAGGATCCCGGAGAACCACTGGCCTAAGATAACGGGGTAACCGCTTGAATAGGCTAAGTATTAGCGCAGAAGTGTTGCCCAAAAGGGCAGCCTGGCTGGGAATGGGACGTAAATCATTTCACGTGGTTCCTGCGGAAAATTCGTTTGGAAGTCACTATCTGTGCGCGTATATTTACGCGTGTGTGTTTATCAGGAAAGAACCTATACAACCTGTGACATGACACAGTGATAGAACGCTTGCTTTTTTGGTGAGTTCATGTAAATAAGGCGGATCACTAAAACTTAAGTAGGTCAGCACAGGAGGGAAGGGGGAAAGTCACGATTGAGGTACTTGCATGGATATCAGGGATTCAGGAAACACTATTGTTAACGGCACAAACCTTCAGCACTTAGAGGTGAAGGGTTTCTGGCAGCTGCCCCTTCAGGGGCCCCCTGAACTTGGGAGCAGGGGACGTACCTGCTTTCTCTTGTAGAACCCTTTGCGGTCACAGTTGGGCAGGTACACGGCACGAGGCACCATGCGTGGGCTGGCTTTGAGCTCCTGCAGGGAAGCCTCCATGTGTCTGCGGCAGGGGCCCTGTGTGAAGACGGCAGGAGTGAGACCCATGGCAGGACCCAAGTGGAAACCACTTTTCTGGGGACGCCTGGGGGGCTCAGCGGTTGAGCGTCTGCCTTTGGCTCAGGGCATGCTCCTGGGGTCCCGGGATCGAGTCCCGTATCGGGCCCCCCTATGGGAGCCTGCTTCTCCCTCTGCCTGTGTCTCTCCCTCTCTCATGAATCAGTAAAATCTTAGAAAAAAAAAAAAGAAAAAAGAAAGAAAGAAAAAGAAACCACCTCTCTGTGCAGAACGTGGGGCGCAGGGCACTGGGAGCTAAAGGGTCAGTGGAGAATTTTTTTCAATTAGTCGCTTCCAGAGATCTCTCCTCCTTTGTACCTGTCATGCACTCTGGGTGTAGACAAAGTGTGCAAAACCAGCATCTGACCGGTCACAGGGGCATACCGTCCCACTTTTCTTGCACAACACCCGCCCTGCTCTGATCCAGTCTGGAGGTGGCCGTCCGCAGGTGCTCCGGGGAGCGTGCTGCCCAGGTGAGGACACAACCCCTGGCGCTTGAATGAGCGCCTTGAATGAGCACCGCCTCTATGCCCCACTCGGTTAAGCCCTGAGTTCTGATAAATGGAAGCCATGAGACGTCTCTGAATTCCATGCTAGGACTCACCTAAGCACTGGCTGCTGAAAATGCTCATTTAGAAGCAGGGAAAGGTCAAAAGGCAGGGGTGGTGGTGGCAGAGGCGGCCTGGCAGGGATGCCGGTGGAGGCGGGGGGTGGCGTGGGGGGCAGTGTCCCTGTGACTCACCTGCTCAGATTCCTGTCTCATCTCGGGGGCAGAGATGACCCTGGGGTGGGCAGTGTTCTCGGCGCCCCCCACAAACTTGGACTGGGTCAGCTTCTTTCTGCGATCCTTCTTCACCGCCTCGGCCTTCAGCTCGGAGATGCGGGTGTGCTTGGGCCGGAAGATCTTGGGCGAGTAGGTCTCCTCTGCCATCTCGGAGGTGGTTGGCTCCTCGTGCTCACGGGAGTCTCTCTCTGCAGGAGAAGGAGGCGGAGGGTCAGCCTCTGGGGCCGTGCCAGAGCTTACCAGACTGGGGACAAGCAGGGGAAGAAGGAGGACATAGGGGTCCTCGCTGCCGGGAGTGCTGGGAAAGGCTGGCGTGACTCGAGTCCAAAGGAGCAAATCTGGGAAGGCTTCATGGGGTGGCACAGGGTTGAAAAGGTCAGGCTGATAAATGAGGGCAAGTCTGACAGGAGGGAGAGGACATTCTGGGGGGCAGGACGGGTGTGTGTGGGGGGATGTGCGTGGGACGTGGCCCGTGGGGTGCTCAGTGCTGGTCGGGGGCTTGCTTGCCTGCCATGGGGCTGGCTCTGTAGACGGGGCAGTGGCTGGATGGGGGCTGCCGTCTAAGAGCATGACCTGGAGATGCAGGCTGATGGGGGAAGGAAGGAAAGGCCAAGTCTGTCCCAGAGTGAGGCCTTTGTGCTTCCAGGACTGTTAGAACTGAGATCCATTCAACTTGGAACCGGGGAGCAGGAGGGTCCTCGGGATCTAGACTACCGGGTGGTGAGGACCGTCATGAAGAGGAGGGGACCTGAGAGGGCCAGACAGGTGGGGCCTGGAGGATGGGTGGGGGGACCTGGAACCCCATGGCCCTGCCCCGGCTCCGGGCTGGCTCCGGGCTCTGGGCCCTGGGAGGCTGGAACGTAACCCAGCTCCAGGCCAAGAGAGGCCGACAGCTGGCGGGGGCTGGAGCAGTTAAATATAGGAGAGACTTGGTGACAGTCTATACTTAGCTGACTTATGACCTTTAAAGAAGTAGGACTTTGTCCATTTATTTGTTGATCTGATAATTCCACCCCCGGCCTTCTTTCCATCTGCAGACTTCCAGTACATTCTTATCTCCCAGGCACTCTTCTCTGGGCCCCTCTTCTTCCTCTCAGCTCCTTGACCTCGCCAGCCTTGGCAGACCCAGAGTGGGGAGGGCTTCATCGCTCTTCCCAGGTGGGCAGGACGTGACCAGGATGCCCGCAGGGAGACCAGGTGCAAGGTGGGGGTGGGTAGGGGCGGGTCAGTCCTATCTTCACCGCCTCTTTTCAAATTTTAGAGAGAGAGAAAAATAGGGCTCTGGGGTGACCCCGGATAACTCAAATGAGGTGAAGGAAAATCTTGTTCTCCAGCCACTCCACTGTCACTGGGCTCTCCAGGAGCCACGATGACAAGGCCCTGGGATGGAGAGTAAGAGTCCAAGGAGGTGGGGACGACGGGACACACAGGGAAGGAGAATCTTGGTGAAAAGACACTGTTTTGTGTCCCCAGGGGCAGGAACCCTCTTTCCAGGAGAAGTTCCGGGAGTGGGTTAAGGGAGGCATTTGGGGACCTGGCCTAACCTGGTCAGGATGGCAGGTGGCAGGAAACACCTGAGCACCTGTTTGTCTCTTGGCTTGGGATTTGTCAAACTTAATTGAATAGGTATCCGGTCTTTAAGGCCCTGGCAGGGAAGTTCCCCGCCCTGAAGAAGCCTCCACAAGTTTGCAGTGTTTTGGGTGGTTACCTGGCTTGGATATTTATCCACAGAGAGGAAGGGAGGTAGTCACTAGAGGAACACTGGCAGAGCAATGGGGGAGCATTCACCGAGCAAAGTTTGGAGCCAGGTCCCCATCCCCCACTTTTGGTCTTTCCCTCCCTCTTCCCGCCTTGCCTGGACTCAGGGCTCTGACTCTATCAGACCTGCTGCGATCATTAATCAATCAGCGTGGTGGGCGATGCTCCTGGTAGGGGGAGGCTAGCCGTCTAGGGTTAGCTAAAGGAGTGACGTTTGGAGTAAACCAACTTTTCCTGGTTGCAGGACAAGCTACAATGGGGTGACGTGCAGGGGAGCAGCGGGGGGCTCTGTACAAACTGGAAATGCTAGGGCTCTGTTATCTAGTACTGAGCCCGAACCCGAGGTTCAGGTCCTGGGGAGAGATGCGTGGAGAGGAAAAGCCAGCTGTGGGATGGAAGGTTGCTGAGCCCATCTTGCTGAGTGATCTGAGGCACTTCCCGCAACCTCTCTGGGCATCACCGAGCGCTCTGACCCTGAGAAAGCAGTTGACCACTGGGGTAGAAGAGAGGGCAAGAGATGGCTGCCATTGAAAGGTTGGGAGCATTGGGGGGGGGCCATGGCCACCCCCTTCCCCTAATCAATATCGTAAGCAGGTGAAGTGAGGAAAGGTGGGTGACGGCACAGGTGGGAGGGTGGAGGGGCTCCAGCCTGGGCCGGAGGGCCAGCAGATTTGTGTGTGGCTGGGCTCCAGGAGTTGCCACTTCCGTGAGGGAGATCCCAGGGAGCTGCTGACCTCCAGTGGCTGGAGCTGTACCAGCTCCTGGAAACCTTCCAATGCACCGTCAGGTCCATGCCCCTGTGTCCAAGCAAGTACATGAACGCATCTCAAGGTGCTCTTTCTAGCTCTTACAGACATCAGAGATGGGGGTGCTGCCCCTCCTCCTCTGGCCACCTGTTGTGCCGGACCCCCCCCCCCCCGTCCCTCTGGTCAGAGAGTGTCATCCACCAGATGTGGTGTCCCCTCTCCCGGGGCTTCTCTCTCTGGCCTTGCTGGACACGGAGGCCTGCTGGCTCACGGCACTCCACATACCAACAGCTCTTCTCAAGACCCTTCATCTTTTAGGACCTTTTCTAAGAAATGCTGTGGGCTGCCCTTAACCTTGACTCACTCCTCCTGGGACGGGGATGTGGTTCAATAAACTTGGGAGCAACTTTTCTTGGACCTTAGTCTTTTCCCCGAAAGTGTTCAAGGATGGCCTTGAGACTAAGCGCATGTTCATACTGAAAAACGATGTGGATTCTTGTATGTTCTTTAAGGAGCTCAAAGCACTTCTGCAGGGACCCCTGAGTGGTTCGCTTCTGCCTTTGGCTCAGGTCATGGTCCCGGGGTCCTGGGACTGAGCTCCACGTCGGGCTCCCTACTCAGTGACAAGCCTGCTTCTCCCTCTCCCTCTGCTGCTCCCCCAGCTTGTGCTCTCTGGCTCTATCGCTCTGTCAAATAAATAAATAAAATCTTAAAAGAGAGAAAAACCCTAAAAAGCAAAGCACTTCTGCAAACCCTCTCTCCTTCCCCGGCCTCACGAAGGCAGGGTTCCGAAGGCATACCCTCCCTGGTTCACAGGCTTTTTTTTGGCTGCTTCTGAAGGGCAGGCTTAAAGTTTTGATGTGTCTCCTGGTTTTTCGGTGCCACTTAACCCCATGGGACCTATTACTTAGGCAGCCAGGGTAGTGGAGTCTCAAAGATACCAGTCAGGGTCTCGTGGTCACTTGCAGGCTCCAGAGATAGCGGAAACGCAGCACAGAGCCAGTGTGGAGCTACAAAGATGAAAAGGCTGGAGAGTAAGACGGGGGTTGGAATGCCAGGGCCCGCTAGCCCTCCTCAGCTGCTTGCTGGCCAAGTCATAAATAGGCTTTCAATTTGGGAAGGGCTTAAGTTTTAGCTAAGACAAGCAGGCACACGCAGACTGGCGGTTCCTGTGCTCTCATGGAGAGAAAATGGACCAAGGTTGCAGAGGGGATTTAGGTGGGATGAAAGGGAGGACTTCCCGAACTGCGGAACAGCAAAGGAACTTCGAAGTGCAGGGGGTTCTCGAAGCTGGTCCACAAACAGGCCAGTACCTCCACATGGCCGGTAGGTGGCGGAGGAGACTCATGGCCCCGGTGCTTATTTCCAGGGACCTCAAGGCACTTTTAAGATCTGAGATTTGTGTGCTGCCCTCCTCGACTTCTGTGACAGCTACCCAAATCCTCTCCTTCCCTCTGTGTGTCTGCAGATGCATTTCAGGAGTCAGGGCGATGGACAGGTGAGGACTAGAAAAAAAAAAAAAACCCATGTACGGGGAGGGTGAAGGCAGCTGTGAGAGCTGGAGGCTCATGGGGGGACAAGGCCGACCTGTGCATCTGTGCATAGCCCCCTGCTGCTTCTCTCATCTGCAGCTGAAAAGTGATCTGGGGAAGAGGGGACCCCTTCGAGGGCCTCCTTGCCCTTTTCTCCAAGTCCTTCTGAAAGGATTCTGCAGCAGCTGGAAAATGGGGAATGCTCAGTATTGTTCCCGCCTCCAAGGGACAATGGAGGCAGGGCCCGTTAATCCCTCGATCTCATCCAATGGCCAAGGGAGCAGGGGCTGTCACATGGTCCTGATGGGTGCCTTTCCTGATGGGCGGGTTCTGAGTCTGGCCTGCCTCCCCACAGGCTCTCTGATGGCCCCTGTCCCTGTTCATTCATAAGGGGGTTCTGGGTCCCGCTGCTGTGCCAGCACCCACGGAGGCACACTCAGGTACACGGCCCTTCCTATGGCAACATGAACACCTGCTGGAGGACTACGCCGTTTTCACGTCCCAGCAAACACAGAGGGTGTCTGGCTGGAGGCCCAGCGGCTCTGGATCCGGAGCCATCGTAGGGTGGGCAGCGCTACCACAGCACAGCGGACAATGCCCGAAGCGGGCCCATGCTCTTAGAAGCCTTCCGATTCCATCCTGCTCCGTGGGCCGTGATGGAGTTGTTAGGGACCTGCTGCTCCCTGCAATCTATCCCCCCATGCTGGTCATGCCCTGGCCCCACTAGCACCCTGGGCCCAGGCTGGTGGTAGTTTCCCACTCTATCTTAATCTCATCATCAGACTTCAAACAGAGTGGCCCAGATACCGCCACTTTGCTTACGGAAATTGAAGAAACCGAGGCGTAACTTGGAATTCACAGCTCAGGAAGACTGTGGGGCTTGGCCAGGCCACCTGGACCTGGGGAGAGGAAAGTCTCTTTTTGTAGCCAGGAGACAAGATGGGTTTGCCCAGAATCTCTCTACAAGGAATGAAAAGGGGAGCTGGGTTTCCTCTGGCTCTCACTCTAACTCCTTCTGTGGAATTTAAAAAGTAAGCTTCTTAAGAGCGGAGCCTGGTCATCTATGTTCACCTCTCCATCAGAGGGCATTCGGTATATAAGCTGTAAATGGAGAGATGCACAGATTTCTTCAAGAGATGAAGAGAAGCAGGT